CTTTATTAAATTTAAATAGGCATCACCCGTGTAAGCTATCCGATAAAGAATGACTTCTGGTAGTTATGGAAAACGTGGTTTAATATTTGACATAATTGACAAAAAGTTTTTAACCGTGTTGATATACCTAAAGGATTTATTGAAGGAATAGTAATCAAAGGCAAAATCTATAAATATTGCTTATAACATACGCATTGGTTTGAAAATACCCAGGCTTGGCTCTTGAAGAAAAGTTAAGTTAGGTTTCGGTGATTTTCTTATGGTGAGCTAAAAGTAACTTGATTTCTGTAGCAAAAATAAGAAAAATAATATAACTTTTAGGTGACATTAAAAATTATTTCCGTGAAATTTAAAGCTCATTAAATAAAATGGGTAACGTTTTTCGAAATTAAAAGAGCAAAAAGTTTATTTGTGGGCATCACCAAAAAGGATGGGGCGAAACTGAATTTTGACTTAAACAGAACAAAAAGCATTATGGATTTTTTTTATTCGTGTCTTAAAACAACACATACTAAATAAATTGAATGGCCTTCATAGTTCTTTATTGTTTTTTTATAAATATAATTAAATACGTATTGAAAAAAAGTAAACCCAAAGGAAATTATTTCCGACCCCAAACCAGAGATTGATAACAAATTCCATAAGGAATTATATCAATAAAATTAACTTGAACTTGTATATTCGGCTTTCTAAAACACAAGTTCCGTAAAGCTCAAAAAATTAGTAATGGTCATAATAATAACAAAAAGACAAAAACTTTTTCAACTCCGTAGTCAATACACAATGAATAGGAGCTGTCCTTTTTTTTATGCAACTAAATACTCTGCATGCAGCTCAATCTGGGGGATATAAGAATGAAATCGGGTTCGCCTCATTCGTTACCTTGATTTTTGCCAAATAAAACAAAACTTGATATACTTTATATGTAGTTGTTAGTTATTATGCACATGTTTCATTTATTATTGCATTTCATGTTGCTGTGTAGCGTTATTATCGAATTATCAGTATGCTTACTATTATTGTATTCTATTACCAAAAATAATTTCTTAAAACTTGTTTACTCGTTTAATTTATTTATAGGTATATTATCAATTATTTTAAGTTTGCGTTCTGCAACTGCTCGGGGTAGAGTGTTTGCTATGTAATTAGATTTATACTTGCCAGCGGTAACACGATAACTTGTTCAATATTTCACTTTTTGCTCAAACTACAATTACGTGGAACTCAAAACTCCAGCGGGAAGAGCTACAGTAGAATGTTTTAAATATATATTCGTATTCGTGGGAGTGGGTGGGATGGGGAAGGTGTACATAGAACGAAACCCATATTTCAACATACTGTTGTTTATTTTGCTGTCTAGATTTTCGTTTGTTGCTATTGGCATTAGTAACTAATTTGTGTGATAAATTTACGATTCGTTTTTGCGTATTTGCGATTGTGTTTTGTGTGGTTTTAGGTTTTACTATGTATTAAGACTTTGTTTCATAATAAATTGATACAAAACAAACGTATAATTAACGTGCCTAAAAGTTATAACATTTCTCAATTGACTAAATAATAAATGTATGGGTATTTTGCTGCTGCCCAATGAAGTAAACAATATATATATATAAAGAATTGCCAAATGGGTCCTTAATGGGATTCTGGTTTACAAACACAACGTTTAAACGGTTAAGATTAGGATCGAACAAAGCCAATGGAAGGACATGGGAGGATTAGTATAGCGTTTAAACCTAACCCGAGGCGCGGGTGACGCTTTAAGCAAATCTTTTTTTTTTTACATACAATACATCGTTTGTTCGCGTTATCATATTCTTCTTTTTGTTTGGAATCACAAATGTTAGCTAGTATTTAAATACACATGTAGGTAAGACATTCAAAAAGAAGAATTGGGGGTTTTCGTTTAGCGTGGAGTATGCTCTTGGTGATGGTGTTAGAGAGACGACGGCTGTGTTGGTGATAAAATGGGTGGCAAAGTGCGGCAACCTTCAAGCTGCTTCTGCTCCTTGATCTGCTCCGGATCTGTTTCTGATTCCTGCTTCAGCTCCTGCTCGAGTTTCACTCCAAATTTCGCACCTCGAATCGCTTGTACGTGTAGTTGATAAAGACCCAGTCCTTGGCAATCTCACCGCCCTGCGGTATGGGCGCCGATGCTGCAATCGAAAATCATTTACTTTCCGTCTACTCGTTCGGTTAGGAGTATGCTTACGTATCTCCAGCGACACATCGGGAAACTCGTCGAAGTTGGACGTATCGTCGATTGAGCGCACCTCAACGGGTATGGCTGCGGGACGTTCGCGTATGTGCTCCCAATCCACACCCCGGAAGAACGGCACTGACTTCAGATCCTCGAGACCGCGCTGGGAGCCCAGCCGGCGATCGGCCTCGCAGCAAAAGTTGATGATCGTCTCCTTGGCCTCCTCCGAAATGGGGATCTCTGGGGGAAATATCAGCGTCTCGCGCCAATTCATCACCTTGCGGTAGGTGTCCTGTGGATTGTCCGAGCAGAATGGGGGATACCCCATCAGCATTTCGTACATGATGACTCCCAGGGACCACCAGTCGCAGGCGGGCCCGTAGCCAGTCTGCAGGAATACTTCGGGTGCAATATAGTCCGGCGTTCCCACCGTGCTGTAGGCAAGAGCTCGTCGGTTTCGTTTCCATGACTCGGCACGTCTCTTCGAATCCATGGGACTGCAGGAGCCAAAAGCAAGATTACTTTAAAACCCAAAGTGTAGAAAGCTTTTCTTAGTTTACCTGGCACAAGTGCCTATGAAATCTGATGGTTTCGCCTGAGACAAATCCCGATAAAAGTCTGTTCGATGTGACTTCTTTAGGCCAGTGCAAAGTCCGAAGTCAGAAAGCTGAAAAATTCGTGTACTATTAGTAATCGCATCCGAGTGATCTGAACAAATTCCTGCTCACCTTGAGATGTCCTCGCGCATCCAGCAGCAAGTTATCTGGTTTGATATCCCTGTGTATGAAACCGAGTTTGTGAATCGAATCGATCGCCAATGCCGTCTCACTGATATAGAACTGTGTGCCTTCCTCAGATAGCGTATCCTTCTTCATCAAAAGCGTCATCATATCACCGCCAGGCAAAAACTCCATAATCAAATATAAATTGACCTGATCCTGTGAACCCAAAAAGATTATTTAGTTCTGGTTTTTCACTTATTCAAACTAAAAAAAATAATAAGTAAGGATACCACGAAACGTTAACCTTGATCCTACGGCGGCTTATTATATGCATAATTCTGTAGAAATCCTTTAGCTTTCCTTTCTGTATAAATCCTAGTTCAATGCAAACTATTTTCAAACTTTATATAGTTTTGTACAATATGTACACATAAGAAAAAAAAAATCGATTGAATAATACATTCGATACCAAGAGAGAAATTAAAAAAAAAAACTTTAAAACGGGACAGATAAAGGGACATGTCCATGACATGCTGCTGACTAAGAATATATATGTTTTCTTTTTACTGTCGGAGATATCTCCTGTTAATATACGGAAAATATAAATAGACTATGGTTCATCATAACCAGTATTTACTCTTTACTTAAAACCATTCTATTGTTCAACTCTGATTTATGTTATCTAACCATATGTATGTAACACGTTCATAGGTAAACAACAGTTTATTGTAGGCAGGTACGCCTGTGGCAAGAACTTTCACCGAGAAGGAGTGAAGAAAAAAGAAGAGAGAAAAACAACAACAATGACAACACAAGAAAGGGAGAGAGAGCGAGAGAGAAAGATAGACGTGACCATATGATTGGCAAGACGCTTTTGGCATTTGCACTTGTATTGGTTTATTGATTTTTTTGTCCGTGTTTTAACACAATTCTTTTGTTATGCGCGCTGCCCTCCGCCCCCTTTCTTCCACACACCGTTGTTGTTGCAGCTGACGTTCGTCACTCACCTGGAAACTGTAGTACATCTTGACCACCCACTGGTGATCCGCTTCGACGAGGACATCCCGCTCGGCGCGTACATGTGCAACCTGCTCCTTTTCGAGCATGTCGGCCTTGCGCAGCACCTTCATGGCGTACACATGTCCCGTGTCCTTTTTCTGAACCAGACGCACCTCGCCAAAAGCGCCGCGTCCAATGACTTTCAGCGCTTCGAAGTCCTCTACGCCGAGGCGCAATCGTTTGAGCCGGAGGTATTCCGTCTCCTTTTGGGCATGCTGCAGCCGCTTCTCCTGGCGCTGCGCCTCCGACAGGCTCTCGTCCTTCAGCTGGGCCTCCAGCTTCGCCAGGCGCTGCTTCCGTTCGCCATACTGCGTCACCAGGTTGCTGTAGTAGTTTTCCAACGTCACCTTGGCCTTGGTGGCCTTGTCCAGTGTGTGGTCGCTGAATCTGATCGAGGCACCGTCCGCGTCCTGCGTTCTGCTGCTCATCATCTAAGCTGGGGTTTCCGATCCTGGTCTCCGCGGTCGTGTAATTTGTGTGCCCTACTGTGTCGGTATTTTTGCCGTGTGTGTGTGGTGAGGAGTTATGCACTTGCCAAAGCACACACACTGCTTTTTTCGACCGTTTCTTGCCTTTTTCCTCGGTAATTTGTTGAAATTCCTCCCTCTGCTTCTTCTTCTTTAAGTGCCATTCGCATTTTGCACCCCCAACAAAGCAAAGTTGGCTGCGTTTCGGTGGGGGCTATCGATAGGTAATCGATACATTATAGTACTTTGGGGCTTTTGGGCAAATACTAGTGCTGACAAGTAAGCTTTTATGAGATTCTAGCTTGCTAGCTTTTTTTAACTGACTGTAGCGCGAATACGGTTTTTTTAAATCTTAAATTTGCGTTTTCACCTCTTTAATTTATTTAAGTCGTATGTAAAGCTTTTGTAACTTAAAAAAAGTGGTTGTTAGGTTTTACATCCCCTTGATTCCAAACAAACTTAGAAAATGCATGTGATTATCTTTCAGCTATCTTTCGTTAAAAAAAAAGCTTTTTATCTCTAAAAGTTGGCAGCACTTTCAGCTACCCAATTAGTAAATAAATAGAACCAACCGACTTGGCGGTGAATTTTCCATGTTAGAATTAATCCAATCAACTGACCTTAGCCATTTGGTCATTTATTGCCTGTGACAGTTCGAGACAATGACCAAAATCAGCTAATAATGGCCCGCATTACCAATATCCTGGACTTGGATCCCAGTAGTTTATTGTACATTTTCAAGCTCCTCAACTTGGAGGACCAGTTGCACTTGGCACGCTGCTGTCGCCTCTTTCGGGACGCCTTCCTCCACCTGCACCGCCACCATTTCCAGGAAGTCATCGACAAGGACACCAGTTTAAGGACTCTGGAGGATTGGCACACCTTTCTGTGGCTTTGTGGAGGTCGCATCCGTACCTTGGAGTCCCACTTCGACGATGATCATCCACTGCAACTGCTCCCGCTTATCAGTAGGCATTGCTTTCGACTGGAGGGTATATCCATACACAATGCAACGGTGGCCCGGACGCAACCTTTTCTGCTGAGGATGTGTTCTCTGAGGAAGGTGCATGTGCGCAACTACAAGAGCACCAGCAAGGACTTGATCCGGGCAATAAGGGTAAACCTGCCGCTCGTCACCAGCCTGAGCCTTGAAAGCTTCGATCGCCGGGAGTGTAAGAAAAACTATTTATTTCCAATTATGAAAGTACCAGTAATACCGTTTTCTTCCCTCGACAGTACAAGAAGTGCGCCACTTTAGCGAGCTATTGGAACTGGGATTGTACGACGAGGTCACCGCCTCGGAGTTCGCCACCATTGTGAAACCCATGCGGCAGCTGCGTTGCCTTCAGCTGCGCAATGCTAAACGCTTTCTAAACACCAGCAACCTCAGGATGCTGGCCACCAACTGCCGAAAGCTGGAAAAGCTGACGTTCCACGACTGCGAGGCTGATCTGTTGGTCCTGCCGCAGTTTGCGAACCTCAATTACCTGCAAATCTACTGCCCTGAAGAGATGAAGACGCGTTTTTTCAAGGCACTGGCCAAGAGCCACTGCTCCACGCAGCTGGAGTACCTCATCCTGCACCGCAAGCGCTGGATTGACGAGGAACAGGCGCAGTACATCAGTGTCTTGAAGTCGCTTCGGTGGCTTGTGTGCAAGCCGAGGGACGATCTCTGCGTTCGCCATTTGTCGGAGTTGAGACGACTAGAGTGCCTTTCCGTGCAGGCCGCTCGAGAAATCGGGGAAACGCAGCTCTCCCTGCTTGTGACCAACAACGAGCGGCTGCGGTATCTGAACATCTGCTATTGTCTGGGCATGACAGACGCCTTCGTCCTGGAGACTCTGGGCAGTTTGTCCAGACGTGCAGTTCAGCAACCCTTAGAGCTGTTTGCCGCGGCCACTGACATCAGGCATGACATCATGGAGCGGGTGAGTAATCCACTGATTGTATACGCAAAAGTCCTTTATTCAATGCGACATTTCGGGCATTCTTTTTCAGCTGCCGCATGATTTTCCACTGAAAATGCTCTGTTTGAACTTTGAGTGCAGCGAGGGAATGACCAGCAGCGAGCACTTTTATGCCGACGAACCGGAATTCGATCGCCAAGCTGTATGAGGCCTTTTCGTCCAACAACGAATGTTTTCTTCAATCATTACCAAAAAACCAAATTAATACTTCTTTATATGCAGCTTTATTCGTGATCTTATCACTTTAAGTGGTATATTTTTTGTTATTGCACAACGATGTATTCAACTTTTTCACTACAATATTAAAAAGTATATTATCCTTACTTAACTATGTGTACTATTCTGTCTGAAAGTAGGTAAATGTATTTCAAAGTTATTCGCAAGAAACTTAGAATCGTTTGAAAAAATTAAATGATTTTCGTTTTTTGTTGAACAAATGTTATCTATGTTATTTTAAATAGTTTTAAAACGTATAAACAAAAATCACTTAAACTTGTTTACTTTTTTAACTTCGATTGACCCGGCGACTTCACTCGCGCGCTGTTATCGAACCATCGATGACTCATCGCACATCGCATTGTTTTCGCCCCATCACTAATATTTATAGTCTTGTTTTGTGGCGAACAGAGGGATAAGTAAATTAGCTGAGAAAACTCGTGTGGAAAACGCAACTAGAGGGCCGCCAAGATGCTGTCCATGCTGCAGGAGAAACGTCCGCTGAAGCGCACCCGCCTGGGTCCGCCGGACATCTACCCGCAGGACGCGAAGCAGCGCGAGGACGAGCTGACGCCCACGAATGTGAAGCACGGCTTCACGACGACGCCGCCGCTGTCTGACGAATTTGGGACGGCCCACAACTCGAATGTGAATGCCAGCAAGGTGAGCGCCTTCTTCAGCGGCGTGCTGGCCAAGAAGGAGGAGCTAATGACCCTGCCGGACACGGGGCGCAAGAAGCAGCAGATCAACTGCAAGGACAACTTCTGGCCCGTCTCGCCGCGGCGCAAGTGCACTGTGGACGCCTGGTTCAAGGACCTGGCCGGCAACAAGCCACTGCTCAGCCTGGCCAAACGGGCGCCCTCGTTCAACAAGAAGGAGGAGATCTTCATCACGCTGTGCGAGAATCAGGTGAACATGCAGCGCGCCACCTGGTTCATCAAGCTGAGCGCCGCCTACACAGTGAGCTTCACGGAGTCCAAGAACAAGAAGCGCAGTATTTACGACCCAGCCGCCGAGTGGACCGGCAACATGATCAAGTTCATGAAGGAGCTGCTGCCCAAGCTGCAGGAGTACTATCAGCAGAGTGAGTTTAGTTGGTGGACCGTAGCATTTGACACTCCCCACTTGACACTTTTCGTTTCCTTACAGGCCACGACAAGTCTCCGGCAAACGGTGGCACTTTGGCCAGCTTGACTGCCTCTGGAAATGGTTCGGGTAGCAATGGGACCACCGGCCCCAACTCCATTAATTCCGTCGCCGGCAGCAGTGCTCCGTCGAACGTAATCCCCGTTCCCAGCATGGCCAGTCCCCTGCCTCCGATCCATAGTCCTGCAAATGGACAGCAGGTAGCAGCCGGCGTGGTGGGAGGAGTGGGTTCTGGCAGTGTGGTGCCGGCAGCGGGAACTCTGGGAGGAGTCGTCGGCGGGCCCGGGTCTTCAGTGGTTGGAGGCGCCCCTGGGCCGGGAGCTGCTGTGCCGCCAGGCTCCACCATTTCCGGGATCGGGAGCCAGTTCGAAGACAGTCGTAATGCGCTGAAGTACTGGAAGTACTGCCACCAGCTGAGCAAGTACATGTACGAGGAATCGCTGCTGGACCGGCAGGAGTTTCTAAACTGGATTCTCGACTTGCTGGATAAGATGCGCACCCAGGCGAGCTTTGACGAGCCGCTGAAAAAGCTGGTGCTCAGCTTTGCCCTTCAGTACATGCACGACTTTGTTCAATCGGAGCGTCTGTGCCGGAAGATGGCCTACATAGTGTCAAAGAAACTGGCGCAACTGCTCAACACTGTGGTCGAGCAGCAGGCCATCAAGGACCTGGACGAGCAGAAGCTGCAGCACGATCCCTACGAGCTGGCGTTGCAGGAGCAGATGAGCTGTCCCCATCACCGGGACATTGTGCTGTATTTGAGCACGATCCTGCAGATCATAACCATCGAGTGCCCCACGGCACTGGTCTGGAGCGGAATAGCGGCTAACCGAGCACCTTCCTCGCTGTTGGGCAGTCCACTGGACCATCTGCCGCTGGCGCCCTCAGTGCTGCCGATGCCCACGCGGTGTCCGCGAACCAACCAGGAGATCAGGCGTCAACTGCGTGCAGCCGAGTCGGACATTGTGCTGCGCACCCAGCACGCCGAGCAGCGCTGGTTCGCGGCCAAGTGGCTCAGTGCCGGCAAGAACCACTACACCAGTGTGCTGGCCACGCTGGACCACCTGGACACGCACTGTTTCGATCGCATGGAGCACAACAACAGCATAGACACGCTCTACGCCCACATATTTCCCAGTCCCAATGCCAGTCGTCGGCGCGAGGAGGATCAACTGGAACCGCGTCCAGCCTACGAGCCAAAGCAGGACAAGGACACGGTGCGCATCCTGTGCGAGTGGGCCGTGTCCGGTCAGCGCTGGGGTGAGCACCGGGCCATGGTGGTGGCCATACTGCTGGACAAGCGCCAGATAGACGTGACCAGCACGCCGGCGGATCAGCAGTCCAGTGATAAGGACGACAAGGACTCGCTGGCCTCTGGCGCCGGCTTGATCGATGGCCTGCCTGTGTTCCAGCACGTGCTGATGCACTTCCTCGATCATGACGCTCCCGTTCTGGACGAACATGCGAGCAGCAGCCAGCAACGCACCGAGTTCACCAATCTCGTCCAGCTGTTTAGCGCATTGATCCGTCACGATGTCTTCTCGCACAACGCCTACATGCACACACTCATCTCGCGGGGCGATCTTCTGCTGGAGTCCGTGCTGGTGATCAAGTCGGGAACGACGGCCACGAAGACATCGCCACCACCACCGGCGCCGCCACCGACGACAACGCACGGATTCGATGACGACGGCTTCGGCGGAGGCCTTGACTTCAAGCACAATGAGTTTGACGATTCGAATGTGGACGATGACCTGGACAAGCTGGTGCAGAACATCAAGGAGAAGGGCCAGCAGCACGAGGCGCCCGACAGCCCCAAGATCGGTGCGCCGAGCGACGGCGAAACCAGCTCAGGTGGAAGCATATCGCGCCACTATGTGTACACCAAACACTTTCCCATACCGCAGGACGATCCCAGTATGAGCAGCTACAGCAGCGAGAGCAACCAACGCTACATCCTGCTCTTTGGAGTGGGCAAGGAGCGGGACGAGAAGAAGCATGCCGTGAAGAAGATGTCCAAGGAGATCGGCAAGTTGTTTACCAAAAAGTTCAGCATCGATGTGGCCGCCGCTGGCCATGTGAAGAAGCATTCGCGCAACGAGTTCAATTTCGAGGCCACCACGTCCAAGTGCCAGCAGATGGCCTACTTCGACCAGCACGTGGTCACCGCTCAGTGTGCGGCCAATGTGCTGGAGCAGCTCAATGGCTTCGCCTTGGGTAACAACAACTACCTGCCGGTGCAGGAGCATGTGGCCTTCCTGTTCGACCTGATGGAGTTGGCCCTCAACATCTACAGTCTGCTGGAGCTGTGCGACAGTCTGCTGAAGGAGTTGCCCGAGGTGGAGCATCAGCTGCAGCTGAAGAAGTCGAACCTGGTGCGCAGCTACACCACCTCGCTGGCCCTCTACATTGTGAGCATCCTGCGGCGCTACCACAGTTGCCTGCTCCTTTCGCCCGAACAAACGCTGTCGGTTTTCGAGGGCGTCTGTCGCACCATCCGCCACGTGTCCAATCCAAGCGAATGCTCCTCGGCGGAACGCTGCATCATCGCCTATCTGAGCGATCTGCACGAGTCCTGCGTTCTGCTGCAGGGCAAGGAGCAGTCCACGGAGTACTACCAGCAGCTGCAGTGCATCAAGCGCTTCAAGGACATCTTCAACACACCCGAGCAGCTCAGGTGAGTTTAGATCGTGTTTTTAACTTAAAAAGGCTGTGATGGAGAAAGGATTGATTCTTGTCAAGAGCATCAGTACATATATATTTAGACAATTTATGGTAGAACTTAGATTCTCTTATTGCTTAAATATGTTTAGGTTTCTAGTAAGAAATAAGTTTTTATAGTAAATATAATTTAAAGCAGGAAATTAAGTTATAGCTTGTTTGAAATTTCTCTAGTTTAGACAACCAACTAACTTCGAATTCCTTTGTTTTCAGCCTGCCCCCGCAGGGCTATAATCCGCAGCTGCTGCAGGAGCTGTTTGTGGCTCCTCGCCGCGGTGGCAAACTGGATCCCCACTGGCTGGGAACGCTGCACGAGTCGCCGGCCAACGTGTACAGCTTCGTGTCGAACGCTTTGATTGCCGTCTGCCGAGAGACGGACAACGAGCGGCTGAACGACGTGGCATTGGCGTGTGCCGAACTCACAGCCAGCTGCAATGTGCTGTCCGAGGAGTGGATCGCCGCCCTGCAGAGCCTGTGCAGCGGCAGCAAGAGTCCGCGATACCCGCATCTGGGCGGGCAGGTGGACATTGGCCAGGGCAAGACGCACAACGCCCTGGCCGTCTTTGTTTGCATCCTGGTGGCGCGACACTGCTTCTCCCTGGCGGACTTTGTGAGTAAGTTTGCCCTGCCGACGTTGGCGCGATCGGTGAGCGCTGGCGGAGCCGAACTGAGCGTGGACGCGGAAGCGGGAGCTCGTCTCACCTGCCATCTGGTACTGAAGCTCTTCAAGACTTTGGAGATCCCACAGCCGGGCATGTACTCCGTGAGCACATCCCCCAATCCGTTGCACGCCGTGGGCAATGACTTTAGCATTCGATTGAGCTGCGATCGTCACCTGCTGGTGGGTGCCCACAAGACCATACCCATAGCCGCAGTGCTGGCCGTGCTCAAGGCAATCCTCATTGTGGTGGACAATGCGGCGCTCAAAACTCCCTTGGCCGTGGGCAGTGGATCTTCCTCCTCCGGCGGTGGTTTGGGCGGCGCCTTCGGGAGCGGCAAGCGCAGTGGCTTCAATACGCCAGTGCATCCGGGCAGCACGCCAAAAAGCAACGAACTGCGACCTGCGGACCTAAGCCAAATCCTGGGCACCAGTGACCTTCAGCTGGGCAGCAGCTTGACCAGCGAACCAGAAGCGCTGCAACAGCCGTCGGTTGGCGGCATGGAGCAGATCTCACTGCTGGAGTTCGCCCAGGCGGTGCTCAAGCAGATCTGCGCCCAGGAGCATGTGCTGGAGCGGTGCCTCAAGAACGCCGAGCAGCTGTGCGACATGATAATCGACGAGATGCTGACCGCCAAGCAAGCGCAGCGCGTCCTGCACATGATCTGCTATCCGGAGGCTGAGTTCAACATCATCTCCGAGCTGGACCAACGCTCGATGATCGTTCGCATCCTGGAGAATCTGGGCCAGTGGACATTGCGAATCTCGTGGCTGGACTTGCAGCTTATGTACCGCCAATCGTTGAGCAACAATGCGGAGTTGAATGTCTGGCTTGATACGGTGGCCCGAGCGGCCATCGATGTCTTCCACATGGAAGAGGTCGTTTTGCCGGGCGCCTTGAAGGCGACGCACAAACCCAAACCGTCCACCTGGTTGGTGGCGCCGCTGATCGCCAAGCTGACGCCCGCAGTGCAGGGCAGGATTCTGCGCGTGGCTGGTCAGGTTCTTGAGAGCATGAACTACTTCTCCAAGGTGCCCAAGTCGGATTGCAATAGTTCGGGCAGCGGTGATGAGCGGGAGAAGAGCAACAGTTGCCACAGTAGCAACAGCTATGGACTGGGTGGCGTTGCGGCTCGCAACAAGAAGATGCCGCTCAACTACCAGCCCTTCCTGGGACTCATTCTCACCTGCCTCAAGGGCCAGGATGAGTACAAGGAGAACCTACTGGTCTCCCTCTATGCTCAACTCTCCCAGTGTCTGCAGTCCTTTGCTGAGGTACGTCTTCTTCTTTGGCCTCACTTTCACGTATTATAACATTAATAATTTGCCCTTCAGCTGGACACAATCGGTGGCGTTGATGAGCCGCAGGCTCGGGAGGAGATTCTGGATGCCTTGCAGTTACGTTTCTCCCTGGTGGGCGGCATGTTCGAGGCCATTCAGAAGAACAGCACACCCACTACCGATTGGGCCATTCTCTTGGCCCAACTGGTGTGCCAGGGTGTGGTTGACCTCAGCTGCAATCGGGAACTCTTCACCACCGTGGTGGACATGCTGGCCACCCTGGTGCACTCGACACTGGTCTCGGATGACGAGCGGCACTACATGAACCTCATGAAGAAGCTGAAGAAGGAGATTGGCGAGAAGAACAACGCCTCCATTCGGGTCATCCGGCAGCTTCTTCCGCTGTACAAGCAACCCACCGAGGTGAGTGTTTCACCCGATTCATCACCATTTAATGCGTTTGTAAACTGATAAACTGATCACCTATGCCCAGGTAATTGCCTGTGAGCACGCCGGCATGGACACCAAGGGCAACAAGATCTGCGACATGGACAAGAAGCAGCTGCGCATATCGGACAAGCAGCGCATCAGTGTGTGGGACATCCTGGAGGGCCACAAGAACCCGGCGCCCCTCTCGTGGGTGTGGTTCGGGGCAGTGAAGCTGGAGCGCAAGCCGCTCACCTACGAGGAAGCGCACCGCAATCTCAAGTACCACACGCACAGTCTGGTCAAGCCCAGTAGCTACTACTATGAGCCACTGCCACTGCCGCCCGAAGACATTGAGCCCGTGCAGGAGAAGATTTGCATTGTAAGTCCTTCTATTATTTCTTTAAAACACTTACTAAACCACATTGTTTTCACTTCTCACAGAAGGACGAAATGAAGGCGGACACGCCTTCGTCGGTGGATCAGTCGCCCAGTGCTGTCCCTCCACCTGGAAGAGGTCGCGGCAAGGGAACGACGACGCGGAAACGCAAGCCCAAGAATCCCAAGACGCCGCCCGTGGTCAACACTCAGCAGCAACAACAGCCCCAGTTGGCGCCACAGCCGCAGCAGGCACAGAATGTGCAGCAACAGCAAATGCAGCAACAGCAGCAGCAGCAACAGCAGCAACACATGCAACAGCAGCAGATGCAGAACAATCCGATGGGTCAGATGCCAATGAACATGCCGGTAAGATATGTTATAAATATTACAAATTAGAAAATTTATAAGTTTAAACATAATAATTCAATTGTTGAATGCTACATATTAATTGTAATTGCAGCCTTGTAAATTCCAAAGAAATAACCAAGCAACCCAAAAATTAACAAAATAATAGCACAAAATTCAAAAGTTTTTAAATTTTATATACAAATTTTCTTGACCTTTTTTAGGTGCCAAACTAATCTTGTTAGATCCTTCGAATATCTAATAGTAAATATATAAAAATGATCTCTTTCACAGATGAACATGCAGCAGTTTGCACCCAATCCGAACAACATGATGCAGCAGAATGCCATGTTGCAGCAACAGCAGCAGATGCAGCAAATGGGCAACAATCCGCTGCAGCAGCAGCTAAATGTGGGCGGTGGCAACGGGCAGCAGAATCCCCAGATGAACTTCATGCAGCAGGGACCGGGTGGCGGCGGAGGCGGGCCACAGGGTATGCCTGGCCAGCAGCAGCAGCAGCAGTGGCACAATGCCCAGCAGCAGCAGCAGCAACCGCCCCAGCCGTACCACAATCAATACGCACCGCACCAACAGAATATGCAACGTAAGTGGAAATCACAAGACTCAAAAGCGTATCAAGATGGTTAATACTTGTAAACCATAATTGCAGCAAACCGCATCGAGAGGCCACCGCTGAATGCGAACTCCAAACAGGCTTTGTCGCAAATGCTTCGCCAGCGTCAGCCATTCCAGCAGCAGCAGGCACAACAGGGACCCGGCGGCAACTTCAATCCGATGCAGCAGCAACCGCAACCGGCGCAACAGCAGCCGGGTCCGCAGCAACAGATGAATCCCAATCAAATGCGACAGCAGCAAATGAATCCCCAGCAGAACCCACAGTCGGTGGCCGCCTTCAATGCCATGCAACAGCAACAGCAGCAGCAGCAGAATGCGCAGCAGCAACAGATGAACCCCAATCAGCAGACGCAGCAGCAGTTCTTGCGCGGCGGCAACATGCGACCCGGCATGGCGCCCAATCAGATGAATCAAATGAACATGGGCGGCCAGGGCATGCCGCAGAATCCCATGATGCAGCAACAGATGCCCCAAAACATGGTGGGCATGGTCAATCCGAATGCCAACCAAATGATGCAGTCTGCTGGCGGCCAGGGAGGCAATGGAGTCGGCGTTGGAGTTGGTGTCGGCGTGGGCGTTGGCGTGGGAGTGGGCGGTGCCGGCAACAATCCCAACATGGGCATGGGTGGCATGCCACAGCAGGGAATGATGCAGCAGCAGGCGCAGCAACAACCGCAGCAACAGGTGCAATTCCAGAACTTCCAGAATCAGTACCAGCAGCAGCAACAGCAGCAGCAGCAGGGAATGCAGCAACAAGGCGGCGGAGCAGGCGTTGGAGTGGGTGTTGGAGTGGGCGTGGGCGTGGGCATGGCGCCCAATCAGCAGCAACAGCAGCAGGCCAACATGATGGGCAACTTCAATCCGCAAATGCAGCAGGCGAATCGCAACAACCCCGACTTTATGGCGGTGGCAGCAGCCCAACAGCAGCAGCAGCAACAACAGCAGCAGCAACGCGTTGTTCCCGGCGGAATGATGGCCGGCAACCGCAACCAGTACATGAACCAGGCGCCCAACGTTACGATGACCAACATGATGGGTCCGGGTCCCGGCGGAGTGGTGGGTCAGGTGCCTCCATACGCCCGTCAGCAGTCGGCGGGCGGCGGCAAGCCAGGTGTCCTGAACACCCAGCAACAGTTCCAGCAGCAGCAGCAGCAACAACAGCAGCTGAGGCACCAGCAAATGATGCAGATGCAGGGCATGGGCGGTGGCGCCGGCGGGGGAATGGGCTCCGGACCGCAGCAGGCGGGCGGAGCAGTCGGCGGAGGCGGTGGGGGCGGGATGGTGCCGCAGCAGCAGAGCATGAACCAGCAGCAAACCCCGAACCTGGTGGCGCAGCTCCAGCGGCAGAACATGATGGGCCAGCAGCAGCAGTACCAACCGCCACAATATTAGATCGTAAACACTCCTTAGTTGTAAGCCTAGTCCTAATCATTTATTTATCAGATGTATTTGCAATAAACGTACATTCAAAACAAAAATAAAAATTAAACTATGGATATACAATAGATGGGGAGGGGGATCGGCTTGGGAAGCACAATTTTAAATTAATTAGATAAAAACATAATTTAAATTTAAAAAGGTGGTAAAAATATATTTTATGAAGTGAATATATTTAAAAAATATAATTTTTACATCCAAAAATGTATTCCATTAAAATAAAGAAAGCCCGACATGACTTCGAAGATATGTATATTTTATGACTTTAAAACTTTATAGCTATTTATTTTAAGCACATATAAGCATTATATTTTTGTTTTAGATGGCAAGGAAGTAATTTTTTGCTGTATTTATTATATGTTTCTAATAATGAATTTTCGTTTTGATATATATATAAAATTGTTTAAAATTATTTTAAATATTCATAAGAACTTAATAAATAATAAACATAAAAAATGCTGAAAAAGCTTTAGAATACAAAAATTACTTTTAATTTATGTAATAAATCCCAGATTTTTTTTGATAATTTCAAGTAAAAGCTGTTTTGCGCCCAAAGCGCAATCATCGGATTCTCGCCCATCTCTAATCAGCTGAGCGCCGATTGTTGCGCTGGTGTGCGTTGGCGTTTGTGTGCATGTGAATTAGAAATAATACATTTTTCGTACGCATATCTCAGACGTTTGGTCATTTAGAACTAAGGTTTAAACAAAACAGTGCAATAGTCCTGCTGCCGCGAGTGAAACACCTGCATATGTAGAAAACTAAGAAACGCCCGCAAATCGCTTCCGTGGCACATTTCATTCATCGATTGGATCGAAATTCGATTCGGAGTGTTACTTTTCGCAGTATTGTTTGCAAGTGCTCGCAAAGAGGACGTGTTTTTTTTAGTGGGTCATAGCCATATAGTACCGATCCAATTCCAATCCGGAAATGAGCGAAGTGCCGGAGAGCAGTAAAAAGCGTCAGAAGACGGTGAGTACGAGAAAAGTGACCCTGTCCCAAAAAAAAAATAAACTTAAGATACTCCAAAACCCTATTTGAACAAGTGCGCCGAATAAAAATAAAACTTTAGATGTGAAATATGTGGCTTAATTTAACACTCAATTTGAACAGCCGTTGGTTGTTTGACAATTTCTCCAGATCTCGTCACTCACGCTGTTCCCAATAAACCCCCTCTGTTTACGTTTTCCGTCCGCTCTTTCTATTTACCATTATGTTTTTCCATATGGCTCCGGAAGACACGTAATGCCAGAATTCCCCTCCCAATCTTATCTTCAACTGGGGGAGTATGTGCCTCCTAACCCAATTTCAATTCGAACTTGACTACCAAACAGCATCAAATTAAACAATTTATAAAGTCAATTGATAAGATTATGTGCATATCAATTTCCAGATGGTTCGGACTAAACACAAATGCAATTATTTTGCGCAATGTATGCAAATATTATAGGTTGATGAGACTTTTATAAATTGTTGATTCATCAAAAGCGTGTTCTACAAATGCGATTAAAAATGCAAGGGTTTCGTGTACCTATTTAAAGAGCTTTATTTTTCTGACATATAATATTTTTGTTACTTACTTTTACATACATTTTGTAGGCATTTTCTCTATTCCGATAAAACATTTTAATTAGTTTTAAAAATATACCACATGATCAAGTATAAGATGTTAACTTTGCTGTCTTTGAAAATGAATATGAATAGAATTTCAATTGTGGAAAAAATATTAGTTTTAAAAAATTAATGTGCTCCTTAAGTGTCTTATGCAACATGCATTTATTTCCGTGATAACAACTGGTTGCCACAGAAAATGTTATTGCTTTGGCTTGAACAGGTTTAAATTAGAAAGAAAGTCTTCCGAGACAACTAAAGTGGTACCAGCGAATTGTAAACAAGTCGCGCTTGAGACCTGAACTCGTATGGGCCACTTTGTTGGAGCTGGTCAAAAGTAGTTGAAAACTTGGTCAACAACCCGGCATCACTTGCAGGTTGAATGACCACAGTGATAACTTTTCGCTGTATCTTCATTCCGTGACATTGTGGTTTGACACACATATGAATAACACTTTTGCCGCAGACCAACACAGAAAAAAAAATATTATTGGGTGTGCTACGGAAATCTCTTTCAATCTTAATGATGATCCATATCAAATTTATAGCAATGTACAATGTAGGTTAATGTAAACAAACAAACAAACCAAATTGAAATAAACCCCATTATTAATTTTGTTTTATATAAATTTAATTTCTTAGCCCTTTATAAAATTAGTAATTTGCTTTTCACTTGTATTATTATTAATTTTGTTTTATATAAATTTAATTTCTTAACCCTTTGTAGAGTTAGTAATTTGCTTTTCACTCGTACATATAGCCACATTTGGTTTTAATGGTTATTACTTTTATCTGTCATTGCATTACGTGTTAGCTTACTGTAATCATTTATAGTGATTACCTAACTAAGTGACTCTTGAAACGTGTCTGCAGATAAAGTGAGCAGTACTTATCGAAAAGGAATTACTATCTAAAAAAAAAAAAACAGATAAGGTTGCATAACAAAAATGTTTATTTTGAAAACAATTTCTTAAGTTTGGAACTTAGCCATGTCAGAAGTTATAAACATTCAACTCAACTATTTTGACTGTTTATAAGGCTATTACTAATCTGAGTTAATTGCCAAATTGTATTATTTCAGTATACGTAAAAAGTAGTGTACTTAGCTGTTAAAACGACTGTTTGTTTGCCATAAAAACAAGGCAAATTTGAGGCTCACCAAGAGGAGTTTGTTATCTAAACACCTCCGTAAACAAGTTCCCATGTGGACCACCAGTTCCACTGCTCCACCCAGTGGATCCCTACCTCTGCCAAGTGCCAACGTAGCTGCCTGGGCCATCGTCTCGACTGCAGACCGTGGAATTTTAGTTGCAGTTTTGAGCTTCGACGAGAAAGTTCAGCGCTTTTGGCGTCTGCCTTCTGTTTCAGCTGTGTGCTGCTCTGCGGTGGGGTTCCAAAAACTCTCACTTGTTTAATTATCAAAGAGTACATTGTTCGACTCACGCTTTCTTTTCACCTGCCAAGAGTTCGTTTCGTTTTGAGGAAAAATGTTTACTCGATGTGCCAATTCGCTTGGCCACTATAATAATAATAACAATAACAATAACAATGGCTATGCTGTTTCCACGAAGTGCTTCCCCACAAGTGTGGAAAAATCTGAAGATGCGGTAAGTTCTATAGCGAAATGTTTTTTACTTCCCTTGCTACGATGAAATAAAGGTACTTTGTTTTCAAATTTTAACAAGTTTTTATTAAAATATATTTATTTCTAAAAGCTAACTTACAATTTTAGATGTTTAATAAAGGCATGTCTTTAAAGATTTGTCTGCCATCAGCAATAAAATTCTGTTTATAAAGTAAGAAACCGATGATATTTGCACATTTAAAATTACACAGGAATTACAAATAAATTGTTCAGCTAGTTCAGTGGGTACTATCAAAATAGTTGATAAGCATTTTAATCAACTATACACTTTTAATTTAACATTAACATTTAAAAAGAAGCAGATGTATGGATTTTTTAATATTTACTTAGAATTTCAATATTCTTTATGCCTTTAATCAGTTCTACTCGATTGGCATCTCAAATTTAAATAGTTTTATTTCCAGAACAATGACATTTGGCCTTTGGACATCAGAAAAATGAGAGATTATTAAGCAGTAGGGCTGAAAGGACTCAACGCCTGCTGAACTCCTTCAGAGTTTTATAAGTCCTTCTAATCTGATTCAGAAGGCCCTTCTTTTCTCCTAGTAAAACAAGGGGTTTTACTACTGCCACTCCTGTGTATTTTATATTTTAAACCAGAAGGGTAAAATTTGTAGAAGCTGGGGGCTTCATATACGAATAGTGCCGCAAAAAAGAATTGTGTACTAAATTGTTTGTGTAAATAAACAGTGTGCTGAAAAAGCTTACTTAAGAGACTGCCCAAAAAAGAGGCGAATTAATAATCAAACAAACGATGGACAGACTGTGCAAACATTTTCTCCATATGGATCCGGAGAAGGTAAATGATGCGTGCGTGAATCGCCGATCGAGAATTCAGAGCGAGATGAAATCGACGGACTGGAGGGCGATCTCTCCGCTTCTTGTACTCTCTGTGCGTTCCATTCTCCATTCCAGTAGCATTGGAGTCGCAGCGCTCCTCATACAATATAATACCGTAAATACTATTGAAAAGTTTCAGTTCGCTTTCGACGCTCGTCGCGTGTCTATGACGGAAACCGATTCGCATCCGTGAGCTCGTTTTAAACGCAATCTGAATATAGGACACGCACCGCTATCAGTGCTCTATTGCAAACAATTGAGCAACCAAAACAAATCGAATAAAATAGGGAATAACTCCCAGTAAATTGGAATATTACAAAAAAATCAAAAAACAATGCCTAATCCGCCCATTGGATTTTATCCCCACATTAAAAGAAGGGTAAGGCTAACAAAGCTTATACAAAAAGATAAATACAACTTAGTATTCGCAGAGATAAAAATGCAGATAGTAAAAAGATAGAGAGTGATATAACCTAAATCATTGTGCCACTAAAACCTTAATCTAAATTAAGTTGTAAACCCGAGATTGTTGCTTTATGAGAGTAAGATCAGCAACGGGGAAAGGAATATATATAAGTGAAAATCTAGCACAGTGACCCTTATCTCAGATTGTTATTCAAGACTATTGCGAATATAAAGAGAGAACCCCATCCCAATTTCAGTATCAAATTTCCACAATTTTCAATGAATAAAAACAAATAATTAAGACTTTTTCTTTTTTACTTTAATATCTTTGAAGAATATGGGTTTTCATATTAGCAAGAAGCACATTAAAGTATTTATGAAACCTAAGTCATGCACTCCGAAAAAGTATATTTTTTTCAAATTAGCAAAAAAAGAACTTGTGATGCATATGTACATAATTTGCATATATTGAAACCTATATCCGAACAATAAAAAAAAATCGTATACCGCACAGCAATGTGCTAAATCGACCAAGACAACGCAAGTGTGTGCAAACATTTCACTTTGAGATAGAGACCAGACCAGACCCTTGGGTTTTAACCATATCGCGTAATTCCATTCGCGATTCTGCACACACGAGCTCCAGCGGAAGGTCAACAAACTGAATGCTGGAGCTCAGCACGAATCGCCCTGGGGTCAAAGCGAACCATTTCGATGATGACTTGCCTTTGGCTCTGGATTCGGCTTTGCTTTTGGTCTTGGCTTTAGCTTTGTGGCCGCCTGAAAAGCTATAGCTGTATAGACACGCCAAGGGGCCCGAGGCGCAATCTATGGCCATCCCAACTTGACATGAATATTAATTTATGATAATTTCAAAAGCTAAACCCGATCCGTTCTTGTTCTCTCTTTGCAGTGCCTACAGGTGGCGACGAATGTGACCGAGCAGAAGCACCATGTCACCCGGGAGACGCGCGGCAAGAATCTGGGCCTGTGCCGGGGTTTCCGAGGATGCACCGTGTGGCTGACTGGTAAGTGCACCTTACTTTTGCTTTCCTTGCCATACGCACCCTAGTCCTTACATTAATAATATTGTTTTTTTTTTTTATTTCCAAAAGTGACTGTTGAAATAATTGCAGCACAAGCAAATTTACCACGGAATTAAAGCAAAATGGTTACATATTTAAATTAAAAATGCTTTGTTATTATTGATTCCATTTAAACGCCTTCAGATCCAACGAATAGTATATTTTTGGTCACTTGGTCAATTCGACTACGACTAGTAATACATTAAAAATAAAAACAAGAAGAAAAGCAAACATCGGCAAGCCGAAAAATTAAATATTCCTCGATTTTTATGAGTACATGTTTAAAAACATTGAATCTATTTTTATGTCAGCTATATTTTAATAAAATTAAAAGCCTAATTCTGAAATTTTAAACAATTACTATGCCCAAAAGAGTTAAAACAAAAAAATTTATAATTAGAAATGTTAAATTTTTTTAATTTAATTTTTGTAGTATATGCTACAGTCGGCCGATTTTAATGAAATTTAAATCGTAATTCTAAAGTTGATTTATTTCTTAAAAAATGGTTATGCTGAGCCCTAAATAATTTATTTTGAAATGTATTTAGGTTTCTAAAATAGCATTAAATTCTTGCCTATTTTAAGAAGTCCGTAATGTGCTTTCATTGAGTCTAAGTCTAATTCAGTCTTGGCTTGAAATTGAAAAGCACAAATTCATAAAGTTGGTCTGTTTCTAATTGATTTTTTTCAATAATACCTTATTGGGTTTGTATTGACGAAATTGGTTTTACTCCAAAGCGGAGTAAATTTTCTATTTAGGTATTAATATCTATATTAAATAAAATCGGGAAAATATTCGAGTATATGTATGGAACTTAAGTCAGAGATTTCTTATTTCTTTCGTATAATTAAAATAGTTACCCATTACTTAACACCTTTATGGCCATCGCTTTGCAGGGCTGAGTGGTGCTGGAAAGACCTCGATCGCCTTCGAGCTGGAGGCCTACCTGGTGTCGCGTGGCATTCCGGCTTACGGACTGGACGGCGACAACATCCGCACCGGACTGAACAAGAATCTGGGCTTTACGCCCGCCGAGCGCGAGGAGAACATCCGTCGCGTGGGCGAGGTGGCCAAGCTGTTCGCCGACAGCGGAGTAGTGGCCATCTGCAGCTTCGTCTCCCCTTTCGCCGATGATCGCGAGATGGCGCGTAAGATCCACAAGGATGCGGGCCTGAAGTTCTACGAGATATTCGTGGACACGCCGCTGGACGTGTGCGAAACACGCGACGTGAAGGGATTGTACAAGAAGGCACGCGAGGGCGTCATCAAGGGTTTTACGGGCATCACACAGGAGTACGAGCGACCGCAGATGCCGGAACTGGTGGTCAACACCCACGGCTACACCGTGCAGGAGTCCACACAGAAGCTGGTGGCTCTGCTCGAACAGGAGGGCATCATTCCGCGCTCGCTGCGCGACGTGGACCAGCTGCCGGAGTTGTATCCCAGCGAATCCATTGCCACGGAGGCACTGCGCCACGAGGCCAAGTCGCTGCAGGCCATCGAGATCAGCACCGTGGAGCTGCAGTGGGTGCAGGTGCTGGCCGAAGGATGGGCCTATCCACTGCGCGGATTTATGCGCGAGGACGAGTACCTGCAGACGCTGCACTTCAACACACTCCAGAGCGGTTTGGATGGTTCCTATCGCGAGAATCACTCGGTGCCCATTGTTCTGAGTGCCACGCAGGCGGACAAGGAACGTCTGGATGGCTGCTCCTCGCTTACGCTCCAATACAACGGCAAAGCGGTGGCGATTCTGCGACGTCCCGAGTTCTACTACCAGCGCAAGGAGGAGCGGCTGGCCCGCCAGTTCGGCACCAGCAATCCCAATCATCCGTACAGCAAGCAGGTGCTTGAGGCCGGAGATTATCTGGTCGGCGGCGATCTGGCCGTGATCGAACGGATTCGCTGGGAGGATGGACTGGACCAGTATAGGTTGACGCCCAACGAGCTGAGGCGCCGGTTCAAGGAGCTCAACGCCGACGCCATTTTCGCCTTCCAGCTGCGCAACCCCATCCACAACGGACATGCCCTCCTCATGCAGGACACTCGCCGGCAGCTGCTGGATCGCGGCTTCAAGCAGCCGGTGCTGCTGTTGCATCCGCTGGGTGGCTGGACCAAGGACGACGATGTGCCGCTGGATGTGCGCATGAAGCAGCACCAGGCCGTCCTCGATGCCGGCGTCCTGCGGCGCGAGGACACTGTGCTGGCCATCTTCCCCTCGCCAATGATGTACGCCGGTCCCACGGAGGTGCAGTGGCACGCAAAGGCGCGCATGAACGCCGGCGCCAACTTCTATATCGTGGGACGCGATCCGGCGGGCATGCCCCATCCGGACAAGGAGGCCTACCCGGATGGCAACCTCTACGACGCCACCCATGGAGCGCGAGTCCTGAAAATGGCTCAAGGACTGGACAGCATGGAGGTAAGTCGCAAACTCAACTATCATCACTCAAAGAAATCTTTAAAGTAAAATGTAATTGAATATGTGGTTCAAGTAAAGAGATCAAATTGGATTTATGAACTAATTGACTTATATTTAAGTCAATAAACCATCTTCCCTTAAAAAATATTTTTGTAAATAACGTTAACATGTATACCCAAAGGCGAGGAATCTGAAAAAATAATGACATACTTCTGGCTAAAAAGTAATGAATTATATTTGCTGTTTTTAATGTGTGCTTAATATGACATTGATTTTTATAAAATATGATATAGTTTAAACTAGGACAGGTAATACTCGAATGGTTGGAAAGTCTAACCAGTATAAATTCTCCAAATTGAATATTTTGTTATAGAACCCAAACTCCCAAACTTTTCTATGCCTAGGAAATGTAATCCATATTTTCGTGTCGAGTTAAAATAATGCATTTATAATAAACTAATAAATATTTCATTACGTATAGTCAAAATAATATATATATTTTATGTTCCCTACTATTTTTTTTTCCATTGTCAGTGTAAAGTCATGGTTTAAATGAAGATTAGTATGAAAATACCTCTGCTACTTGTGAAAAATATATCATTCACATAATTAGTTTTTAAAACTAATTGAGAAAATTAAAATTGAACTTTTATTACTACCACTTTATAGATCCTGCCGTTCCGGGTAGCTGCCTACGATAAAAGCTCCAGCAGTATGGCCTTCTTCGAACCTAAACGTAAGGACGAGTTCGAGTTTATCTCGGGGACCAAGATGCGAACCCTGGCCAAGACGGGAGCCAGTCCGCCGGATGGCTTCATGGAGCCCGAGGCGTGGAGAATCCTGGCTACCTACTACCAGAACCTGCCGCAGGCGTAACCCACTGCCAGGACCCGACCAGCAACGTGCAATTCCTCCTAGTTATAGCTTGTGTGCTTAGTATACATATTCCCACTTTATGGCCGCTTATCACTTACCACATTTTTCCATCTGTCCATCGTTATTAACCCAAATCCGGACCTGTCCTTGTGTGTGAATGTGGTGGTCCTGCTATTTAAATGTTCGTATCGTACAATCTACTTGTATCTACACATAAGTCGCCCAATTCTCTGTTTATCATAGGCTCAATTTCGTGCAGCTATTTTGTAAACTGTTTTTTAAATACATATATAAATAATTATCTAGTAGGAGCAATATTATTGAACTGATGGAATGGTATTGGAATATTGTTAAGAGATCATTTTCTCCAATAAAAGTTAAAAGTAAGTAAAACCGAGAAGATACTCTTGAAATTGGTATGCACAAGGACGTTCTGAATAAATATAATAATTCATAATAACCCATAGATGCTGAAAAACTCTCGAAAAGTAATCTTGACTTAAGCAACAAGGAAATCTAGACAAAAATAAAATACGTGTGCGGAAAAACAAAAATTTCCCACAACAAATCGCTATCGATAGCGATTTAAAACTAACTAGTTTCATTAAAGTAAAAAAAAGACCTTCCTTGAATCGTTTTAATCTTTGAAAAACTTTCTTAAGATCAGTTAAATATATTAAGCATGTAATGTGCTAACAGAGCTTTAGCAGCTGTTAATGTTGATCATTGACATAAGCTCCCCGCTACGAAACGTTTTAAAAAGCCTTCTTTAGTAAAAACCAGTTTTCTTTGGTTTTGCACATGATTTATTTTTATAAAATTGTATACGTTTAATAATTAATATTACAAGTAATTAATTAATATCAAATATGCATTTAGTTATCATTTAATTTCACATTATTTTACTGCGCTGTGTATGTGTTCATATTTGTTTATTGCTGCCGATCGATTTTACTCGATGGACTACCTTTAATTGGTGACCTCGTCTGCATATCTTCATTAATGTATATTTATTAGATGTTACGGTATTATTGACAGAGTTGTGTGGTGTGCGGCAAAGAACGAAATAAATAGAGTACAAACTAACCAAATGAAATGTGTGTGAAGATTATGAATATAATAAGCACCCTCTCATACTGTGCGATCCTACCACATTTGGGACGTAAAGTTAAAGTGACCGGATCGGGATTCGGGGAGTACAATTTGGGTAATTGTGCGTCTGGACATCCTCCGTATTCCTAAACATAATGGCATAAAGGGCTTGGTAAATCGATCGAAAGTACACATAAGCTATGAGCAAAACAAGGATAGGTGAACTAATCATATGCATACATAGTACATATATATTTGTTTTACAAGTAATAATTTACAAATCGACAACAACCATGGCTGCTAGAGAAAATCATAATTCCGTTAATACTAAAACCTCTTCGAGAAGGACGCGGGCGGGTTGGATTGGCTGCTCTTCGCTTTACGTTATCGCTGGATCTTTTTTTTTTTAACTTGAGTTATATACGTATATATATATATTATCATGCCTAGGTATATTTCGTACACGTGGTCGTCATATACTTTATTTAATAACTGTTTCATAATGCAATTTGTTTTCTATTCCATTATCGCGCTTATTCGGTTAGGGAGAGCCGGCTGTTGATGCTTAAGGTTGATTTAGATGTCAGTTAATGTTCGCTTGTTCGGGGTCCCGGTTGTATTCGAACCTAAGAGTTAAGAAAACTACTACTTCGTAGTTACCACCATAAACTACTGCCACGTAGCCGTTGCCACCATGCCGCATCAGTGCCGAGCGCACGTTGCCACGTCAAAGCAGACTGCACCTGGACAACCAACTGTCCTTCGTCCGACTGTCCATCGGTTTCAGCTGATGGCCGCCCTTGGGTGGGTTGTTCGCCTCCTGTGCACACAGAAATGAAATTTATAGTTAGCCACTTGCAAAAACTCTTTGTCCCCTCGAAACACTCACCATACGCTTTTCCGTTTTCGCTTTGATATCACTGGCTAGGGTGAGGAAGGCTTCTTCCACGTTGATGCTGGCTTTTGCGGAGGTTTCCATGAACTTTATGCCATACTCGATAGCCAATTGTTCACCGCGCTCCTTTGAAACCTATAATTGGTAGAAAATTGTTAAACTATCATTTAATTTATTTTTCAATCTAATTCTAACTCACTAGAATTAATGTCAGTTTTGAAATAAGCAATATTAAGAATTCAGAACAAGTGGTCAAATATTAATATACTTTAAAAATCAATATATAATACTTCAAACATTGTAGTGTATTTTTGGAGAACTTGGATCAAATCAAACAAATCAAAGTAATTATAAGCTTTTTAATATAAGTTTAGGGCAAACAACAAAAATAAAATTTACAAAAACTGTAATGGTAAAATCGAGCATTCTACAAAAAGTCATTAGTTCGTTAAATACAAAACATCAAACTTTGAAAGCTAATAAGGTCTACCAAATTTTGATTGAATTCTTTATGGACAACCAAAGAGTGACTGATAAAGCCCCTTTGGAGTCTAAGAATAGCCAGTGAATTCATTAATTTCCTTTTGCCATACCTGTCGCTTATCGGTCAATTCGCACTTGTTGCCCAGCAGCATTTTCTCGACGTCCGCGGAGGCGTTTTCCTCGATATTCCTAATCCAGTTTTTGATGTTCTCGAAGGACTTCTCCTGGGTAATGTCGTATACCAGCATGATGCCCATGGCACCTCTGTAATAGGCCGTGGTGATTGTGCGGAAACGCTCCTGGCCGGCAGTGTCCCTGGGAAATTCAATATTAATCAATATTAATAAACTTAAATCTCAGATTGCCCTTTTTTATTACTTACCATATTTGCAGCTTGATCTTCTTGTTATCCAATTCAATTGTTCTAATTTTAAAATCGATACCTGCAAAGAGAAAACAGATGAGAACACACACAAGCACGCACGCTAATTAATTTGAATAATTTGGCAGTCTGCTGAACCTGTTTGTACAGAACCCATGACGTCGCATTAAAGACGGACAAAGAGGGGCACAGAAATCGACAAACCACGCAATTGATTAAAACAATGTCGTTAAGTAAATGCCCCAAAATTGGAAGTGTCGCAAGAAAAACGTGCCAAAAACGAAAATAAACAATAATTGGCCACGAGCATTGATGGGAATCGTTCGACTTTTGTGCTTACGAGTACAGGAAATACAACGTACATGAGAAATAATAAGTAGATAGGTAGAGCTTTTCCCTTTTGGTATTTACATGATTGATGTACAAAAATAACGAGTTTTGTTAATGATTATTATTTGTTACTGTCATTATAAATTATGATGTTAAAAGGCATTTAAAAAGTTGACCATCGATAGCTGTTTTTAAAGTCCTAAACTAAATGTGTTCCTGGTCGATTTTGTACTTTAATAGGCCATAGTTTTCATAGTTATATTAAGAATTATTAATATCATCTGCGCGTTCAAAATACATTCGATAGTAATCAATTTAAACTTTATTGCGTAGCTGAATGCTTTGTTCTTGCTGTCGAATCGTTGATTAAAGACCAGTTTGAATGCATTCTTGAGAATATGGCAATCCGTTTATGTTTATTGTTGTACAATCAAATATTTACAAAGGGCCTGGTGTAGCTTGATAAATTTAATTTGAGATATGATGCTTGAGATATGATAGTTAAAGCAGCATATCTAATACATTTTTGGCTGACTTGTGAAAATGCTAATTAAACCAAATCTATGGCTTGGATTCCTTCCATCACTATGCACCGGCCTTTGGAATCAATGCGACACTCCCGATTAAGTGAGTTAATGGGTAAACCCCGGTATCACAACAATCCGGCTTCTTGGGCGATAAGAGCTCGGAAAATACAAAGAATCTGGGTGATTCTGGTAGTTATTTCTGTACGCTTTCCTATGCGGGTGTGAATTTCTGGCTGAGATAGCGAAACACTTCCGGAAGTCCATGCTTATGGGTCTGTTCCTTGCGGAACAATCTTTATAAATGAAAGGAGAGCCCCTCCCTCGAATACCACAATAATTATGACAAACACTTGGGGGCAGTAAAAAAGAAAACAGAGGAGAACGCTGGCAGATGAGTCACGGGCCTGGCTAAAGCTCGATTTCCGAATGAGTTCATGCGAACCAAGAGGTGTCATAATTATTTAAAAATCGGGGAGATGAGATGGCGTCGCCGCACTCACCTATTGTGGATATAAACGTCGTGTTGAAGGCGTCCTCGGAGAACCGGAACAGGATGCAGGTCTTGCCCACACCGGAGTCGCCGATCAGGAGCAGCTTGAACAGATAGTCGTAGGTCTTGGCCATTTTTTTGCGGTAGGATCACAGTTGCTGCACGTCACACACTGCCCGATGATGATGATGGTTGGGGTAAGGGTTAAGGGCGATGTGCTGTACTCCTTGATTAAGTGACTCTTCCCTTCCGATTCGTTGCTAATAACACTAATCACGACTATTCCCCATGCGTGCCGTTGAATGTTATTCGAATATTCCTAGACGTAATCGTATATAATCGTATATTTTTTTTTTTCTTCTCCTCTCAGCTCTTTTTGGGTGTGTTGGTGTTGTGTTTTCGATTTAGGAGCCGTGTCAAAAATGGCGACGTAGATTTAAGACTTTTTTGTCTGCGCCCGAGTGTTGTTCGCTTTCAACGCGACGGATTTTCCGGTGGGAAAATGCAAGGGCGCTCGCTTCGCAGGGCGAGTGTACGAAGTGTTGTTGTGGTTAGGACGTGGAAATTAACTCAATTACTGCTTTCTAATTACGCCCGTACAAAAAATATGATTCTTCGCAGTGTTGACTAACCAACTGGTGGTGTCAGAGGTGTTGCCCATCACTGGCTAACATGTATCGCCTATCGATAGGCCATCGGCTGAAAACAGCTGTTATGGACAGTGTTGCAAAACTCCCGCCAGAGGCAATAGAAACAGAAAATAGCACAAGACCCAAAAAGACAGGTGTATTATATATATAATCCTGATCCTGCACCTGATCCTTGACTGCCGCAAGTTATTCCGCCCGCGACTGTTAAGTGAAGTTAAACAAATGTGAACAGTGGCGTCGCCATCGACGCAGCAGCAGGAGCAGCCCCAGAAACCCAACGCAGTTGCACCCCCGCAAACAAAAAGTTCTGGGCCATGGGCACCAAGGAGTCCAAGCACTCCAATAGCATCAGCTATGAGGATTCGGTGAAGCGCGGTGAGTGAGTCCTCCGGATGGGTATTTTGGATAGTAACACCCCCGGTGGCCAGTGGAAAATGGAGTACTACTAATCAAGCAAACAAAATCCCCACTGCAATCGATTCCATTGTTGTTGCTCATACGATTTCTGACCAGTGCCTCCTCCACTGACCCCCACCCACGTCTCCCCCTCATCTTGTACTTCCTATCCCTTTTTTTTTTTTCTGCACTTGCAATTAACTTGCCATTCCAGTGGGCCTTTATTTGTGTTTGTGGGCTATGTGCATGGGTATTTGCGTCGCCGCCGCCAGTGACGTCACAATAGAAAAGCTCTATCGAATGGGGTGGTTTGTGTTTGTGGGTGCAAGTGGGAGGTGGGCGCTGGGTGGCTGGGAGACAACAAAGCAGTGACGCTCGGAAAAACAGTTAAAAAGCCAGCCAGTGCAGTGCATGCCTAGGGTGACTGGAATGCGCGGATGCGGATGTCGCTGCGGATGCGGTTCATTTCAAGTTCAGCATGTCGTTCCAGTGTTCATTTCAATTCGAACTTTGTATGTAAAAACGTTACAAAAGTAATTTAAAAAAGGCTGTAATGATTTGTAACATTAACATATGTGTGTAAATTTCAATTTTTTAAGCTTGGGTCTGTGGTTCTCTTTTATTTTTGCATGATATTCCTCTGTTGATTTTAGTTCTTATTTATGTGCTTAGACATTGTGAATAATAGTATTTTCCAAAGAAATCACTTTTAAGTGCTTTTCCCAGATAGGAATAGAAACATTTTGTATTTCAATAGCAGCAGATTAGGCAAGCTACAGTTGATCTTCAATAAATTAAACCCTCCTTTTTTAATTTAAAAACCTTTCAATATTTTATCTTACAACATGTTTTTTGCTTGATAAGTTTTAAAATTTTAAAAAAATTTTAGATTAAATAATTTTTAATATTTTTATAAATATTACTTTGTTTAACATTTTTTTTTGTTAATTATTAATTTAAATTCTTTATTAAAATCTAAAAAAGAAACCTTTTTAAAGAAAACTGAGCTCGAAGTCTAAAGGTTCGACTTTTCCCTCGTTTAACTTGCTTCACAACTGTAGAACCCCATATCAATTGTTAATCATGCAAAGAGTTAAGATTATTTTAGCCAAGGGGAACACTATTGCTTTTGACTTACTTCACTTTACGTTACCTTCCCTTTGCGCTGGCATTCATCTCCTACTGGTGTTGTTATGGTTATGGTGACTGATTTGCGGCCAGGCAGCTAGAGTTAAGAAGGCGAATGTTGCTGATAAGACCCTGCCTTGGCCCACCTGACCACCCCCTTTACCCATCCACCTTTGCCCACCTTGAGGCGTGCGACCAGGTGCGTGTGTTTCTTATTAGCCACATCGACAGACCGACCAACCGACCGAACGACCGGTTCCAATAAAACCAAGCCAGTGGAGAAATGAAAGAAACGATGGGGAAAAACAACTGCTGGCATGCAAGTGCGGCAGTCACAAATCGCAGACCCAAGTTGCAGTTGACATTCAATTAAATTCCGCTTCCATGACGTCGTGCATAATTCACCCAGCAATATTGCCCATTTAATTCCGGAATGTATTTTCACGCCCCGTTTGCGCTTATCAGTTGGCTCTCTTCTCAACCTGAGCGCTGAAATTAAAATGGTTTATTTATTGTCAATTCAATGACAACTCTTGTGGTCTTTCATATTCCACATTAATTAGTCAATATAATGAATTGTAAACAACGAGCAATGAATGAGAATTGTTGATTTAATTATGACTTTACAATTCATTGGATTTAAGTCTTTGTTATTAATACACTTTAATAACGATAAATTATTTTAGTATAGGTAATTACTTATAAAATATGTGGGACTTAATGTATATTTTTTAATGATCTTATTATCTTGTCTTAATATTAAATTGTTCTGAATTTTCTTCATTTTTCCTCTTGTTTGGTGACTTATATGCGTTTAGTTATCATTAGATGTATTTTATTGTCCTACAAACATATGGACTTGCACTTGTGATTCGTCCGCAGATGATTCACAATCAATTGTAAACTTTTACAAAAAAACACACAAAAGTCGACTATGGGATACCTTGCTACCCTGTTGTTTTTTTGAGAGAACCACATTATATGATTTAGTCTTAAAAAACATTTATTTACCTTACTTGATGATTTATAGTTTATGAAATTTACATTCAAAAGTGTACGAATCTAACTTATCATATTTTAAAAGTTCCTTCTGAACTCAAGCAACCTACACTTTTACTCTACAAATTAGAGCTATAAAATCAATTAGAGATAATGGTTAATTAGGTAACAGCAAACTGTAATCACAATCCCAAAAGTGATTGAATAGATAATGAATTTGGAAAATTATGTTAATTGCTGTTATAAGCGATTGCAGCAAGTGTATTTCGAATATTTCGTGTTTTGATTTTTGCTGCAAAAATCGGTTGATTATTGACGTCACACGCACGCTGGTGTGAAATCGAGCTCGTAAATCGTATTAAACACGGGGGCTCCCAGCACATCGCCTATCAATTAGAGGCATTTTGGGATAAGCCCCAACAGCAGAAGCGTTACTCATCCACTGATTTGGCATTCCAGTTAGCGATGTGGAACTGCGGCGCCTAAGAGATGCCTTTAAAAAGTCGGCGGGCGTTGGCCGCAACTTCCTTAGCCGAAATGCCTTCCAGCAGGACGTCCTCTGCGAGGGAGTGCCGCCAAAAATCACGGACATGCTATATGCCGCCTGTGGTGGCACCCAGCGCGGCATCTCCTTCAATGATCTGCTCTGCGGTCTGGTCCTGATCACACGTGGAACCCAGGGCGAGAAGACCAAGTAAGTGTTGCCATAAATTCCAAATTGTAATTGAGATTGAACGCTGTTTGCTGTTTGCTATTTGCTAGATTCCTGTGGAACCTCTACTGCAACGATGCCGGCACCTTTATCATCAAGTCGGACTATCTGCGCAACGTCAATTTGGCTCCCTTCGAGAGCGTCTCCCTGTTCGCCCAAAGCGAACGTGTCAATTTCGAGCAGTTCCAGGACTGGATCACCACGCATCGCAATGCCACTGTCCTCTCCAAATGGCTGCTGGCCGACAATTGTGTCAGCCTCACCTCGGAACTGGAGACGCCAACGTTCTACCAGAGTCTGGCAGGAGTGACTCATTTGGAGGAGAAGGTTAGATTTGTTTTTTACGTTACAAATGTGGCCTTAATCAATTTCTTATGAATTTCATTTTTAAAATATAGCAGGTGCATTATAACATCTGTTCCCTAATCCGCCAATTCCACTTACTAAAGACCCCTTTCTTTCCCCTTTCTTGTTCTGTTTTAATAACTAATCAGTGAAGGCAGCAATTGTTATAGAATTTTTAATGCATTTTCTTTACCATTTATTTGGTGCTCCTTTGCAAAAGGTGTATATGCTGTTCTTATGCAATTTGATTGCTCAGTTTGAGCATATAACCTCTGACTAATTAATTAAAGTACTGTTTTTGAGTACAAGCATTTTGGCTGTTTTCATATCTATTGTCAGAAAGTCATTAAATTTAAGAACCCCTATCATTTTCTCAGTATGTGCTAGTTCAAATTAATAGCGTCAGTTTCATTTTTGCAGGATATTGGTGATCTGGAAAAGGAGTTTTGGCGCCTGAAGAGCATTTCCCAAAACGGGCAAATTGATCTGCAGTTTCTGGGCCCGCTGATCAGCCCACCCATACCAAAGAATGCATTGGCGGGACTGTTTAATGCCTTCGATGAGAACCGCGACGGACACATTGACTTCAAGGAGCTGTGTTGCGGCGTGAGTGCCGCCTGCCGTGGACCAGGAGTTGAGAGAACCCGCTGTAAGCACTGATTTCCGCTACTTATAACTACAATATAACTCAACAACTTTCACCTTTATCACCTAATTTCCCTGCAGTTTGCTTCAAGATCTTCGATGTGGATCGCGATGGAGTTCTTAGCCACGAGGAGACGCTGCAAATGATCGATGTACTGCTGCTGGTGGCCAAGGAGAACCGCGAGGCGCAGCAGCATAAGGAGCTGACCAAGCAGCTGGTGATCAGTGACCTGCTGGAGTTTGGCCAGCGCCGAAGTCCCGACGGCACGCCCAGCAAACTAACCCGCGACAATGTCTCGCTGACCGCCGAGGACTTTATGCTGTGGACCGTGCAATGCGACCTGCGACTCATGCAGCCCCTGCTGGACCTGATCTTCGAGCTCTGCCACATCGTCTTTGGCCTCTGGCCGCAGTGCAAGCACATGGAGAACGACATTGTCCGTGGCTGGCTGCGACGCGAGGAACGCAGACCGTACCGCGTTGGTCAGTTCTGGTATTTGATCACGCGCGACTGGTGGCTCGGTTGGATGCAATACACCCAGCACACGGCCCACACCTGCGACTATTGCAAACGCACGGCCAACCAGCGGACCGCTGTGGACGAGGCGCTTGTCTGCGATGAGAGCTTTAATACCCACAGTCTGGAGCAGCACGACAGCTACTCGTTGGGCTCGGGCACTGGCTCTGCCTCTGGATCCGGATCGGGGTCGGCGAGCAGTGGAATCTCTGCCGGACGACACTGCGGACCCGTGCGACCGGGTCCCATCGACAATAGCAATCTGATCACGGCCAATCCGTTTCGCAATGTGCGCACCCTCACCGGCGAGGGCGGCCACCTCAAGCGGGACACGCCCCTGGTGCAAGGTCACGACTTCGAGCTGGTCCCCAAGTCCCTGTGGAAGGCCCTGAATCGGTGGTATGGCGACAATCTGCCACTGCCGCGACAGGTGAGAGACCAGCAGGAAACTCCATTACTAACAGCTAGAAGTTCCGATTCAAACAATTTACAAAAACCTTATGAACAAATTTTGTCTCCACATTTTAAACCCAAAACCCAAAAGCTTAATATTATTATTTATTTTTATGATGCTTTCATATTTGCTGAATCCAGAAACTTAATTATTTTTATTTTTTGAGATGCTATAATATCGGCTGATATAATTGGTAGATAGAAAGCAAATACAAATATAAAATATTATATAAAACGACTAAATTTCAAATTGTATGCTTAAAAACAATGAAGCTTTGTCCGTTTTCTGATGAATCTTTCGAACCTTCCTATGGCAGCTATATAATATTAAAAAAAAAATAATAAATGCAGTCACATTTTTATAAAATTAAAACCATAATTATAAATTAGTAAACCACCACAATATTTTGAATTACATTCATTTAAATCTAAAAACAACGAAGTTAGAATAAATTGTTTATTAATTTTTCCTGTAAAAGCTATATGATATAGTCGTCCGATCCGGCTCATTCCGACTTAAATACTATCTACAATACAAATCAGACTTTTGAAAAGATAGTTTTAAATCAGAGGGTCTAGTTTGCATTAAAACGGACAGACTACGGACAGACTACGTACAAAATACGGACAAAATACGGACAGACAACGGACGGACATCGACACTGATTAAGGTCGAAAACCTTAGTTGAGGGTTATAAAAATATGATTAATATAGGAACACTAGCAAACTTCTTAATATCTACTTACAATGATATAAACTAAAAAAATGTATTAATATTTGAAATAAATTATTTAACCAGGTCATTCAACCACCCAACTCGGATGTGGAACTCGAGCTGTACCCGCTAAACCTGCGCATCCTGCTCCACCAGGCGCAACCCTCGCAGACGGGCGTTGGCGGCGGCACTCAACTCGGCAGCTGGGGCTCCACGGTGAGCGGTGGCTACGGTGTGCTGGCCTCCGGCGGCGGATATGCGGCCATCGCGGCCAGCAGTGTGCTGCAGCCACCGAAGCGGTATCTGGCCTACACGGCTGCCTTCAGTCGACTGGCCACGGTGCGTCAGGTAGGCGAGTTCCTGTGCGAGCAGCTGCGTCTGAAGTCGGAGGACATACGGCTGTGGCACGTGCCGCAGTTGGACAACGGTGCCATATTGCTGGAGGAGGATGCCATGTGCCTGAAAGAGCTGCTAATTCGGGACAACGACCAGCTGCTGCTGGAGATCCGCAACAAAGATTTGACCTGGCCGGAGGAGCTTGGCTCTCTGGCCACCGCTCAGAGTGGCCAGGGTGCGGCGGCGCCTGGTGACCGTCGTCGCCTCACCCGCAGCTCGATTATGTCGGTACATGCACCGGGAGCCACTGGGCTGCACAATCTGGGCAACACCTGCTTCATGAACGCCGCCCTCCAGGTGCTGTTCAATACGCAACCGCTGGCCCAGTATTTCCAGCGCGAGATGCATCGGTTCGAGGTGAATGCGGCCAACAAGCTGGGCACAAGGGGTCAGTTGGCCATGCGCTACGCGGAGCTGCTGAAGGAGGTTTGGACCGCCACGACGCGCTCGGTGGCGCCGCTTAAGCTGCGCTTTTGCGTCAACAAGCATGCGCCGCAATTCGCCGGCGGCGGTCAGCATGATTCCCAGGAACTGCTCGAGTGGCTGCTGGACGCCCTGCACGAGGATCTCAATCGCGTCATGGAGAAGCCGTACAGCGAGCTGAAGGACTCCAACGGTCGCCCCGACAAGATCGTGGCCGCCGAGGCCTGGTCGCAGCATCATGCCCGCAACCAGTCCATCATCATCGACCTGTTCTACGGTCAACTGAAGTCGAAGGTCAGCTGCCTGGGCTGCGGACACGAGTCCGTGCGCTTCGATCCGTTCAGTCTGCTCAGTCTGCCGCTGCCCGTGGAGAACTATGTCTATTTGGAGGTCTTGGGTGAGTCACATCATGTAAATCATATAAAAACTAAGCACGAAAGTCTTTACATTGTCTAATGACTAGTTTATAAAAGGGTTGTTAATTCGACATTCTAAAATGTATATTACTATTAAATGTATTGTTACAAAACAAATGGAATTATATATATAGTATAAATATATAATTCATAAAAATACGAACTCTTTAGAAGATTAAGGCTGTAGTATAGAAGTACAACCGCATTATTTAATGAAATCGCGTTTTCTGTCCTTGCTTGTGTTACTGACCAACAAATAAATAAATAAATACGCGAATTCTTTAGAAGAATAAATGAAAATTCCAAAGAAATCGACCAATTTAAATCGACAAAATCCTTCTGAGATCAAACCTTGATTCCAGTGCAGTTAGACTCCGTAATTAAAAAATTTTTTGTATGGTACCATTTACGTATTTTCACCTTTATTTTCATGCCTGTTTGATTATTGTTGTCAGTAAAAACCGTCAAATTCATTGTACTCCAAAAACGATTATTTGAGATTTGAAAAAATATTTTTATTTTCCCAAGTAACGATTATCTGAGATTTATACACATATATACAAATCTTAAATAACGAATGGTTTAGATGTTCATAAGTCAAAATCTAAAAAACGATTTTTTCACAAACAAATCGAATTACAATTACTAATTTTCTTTTAAAACACAAGAACAAAAACCACATTTTTCGAAAATATAACTGACATGTAGGTCTATTGCCTCATGGTGATTTTTATATTTCCATAACGACTCTAACGACCATAACCTTTTAAAGTCTCATCTTAAATGTTGTTATTTCACCCAACTTTCTCTGCTTAATATTCGTTTGTTTGTAGTTATCCTTTTGGATGGGACAGTGCCCATTAAATATGGGTTTCGCCTGAACTCGGAGTGCAAGTACTCGCATTTGAAGCACAAGCTGTCCACCCTGTGCTCCCTGCAACCAAATCTGATGCTCGTCTGCGAGCTGTGGAACTCGCAAATACGCCAGGTGCTCGCCGACGAGGAAAAGTTGCGCACGCAGAGTGCCAAGGAGCTGTATGTCTACCAGTTGCCCGAGCAAAGTGTGCGCACGCGGTCCAACTCGGTCCTCAGCATGCACATTGAGCAGGGACTCAAGGACATTCAGCGCAGTTCGGGTAAGTCACTGAGGAAGTTCTTAAAACATATAGGTATTTATCATTACCCTACTCACTTTCAGCTCTTATCACCACGGCACAGGACTCGCTGTCCTCGCTGAGCACGCTGCAAACTTCAAGCCACCGCGCCTCGTCACGAGTCCTTTGCAACGGTCATGTGGCAGGACTGGATGTCGAAACGGAACTGGAGGCCACAGATGCCTCCCGCAATAATTACACTTCCATCAATAGCAATTTCAGCGGAAACGGAAGCGGGAACGGAAACGGGAACGGAAATGGGGACAATCAAGTGCACGAACTGCTGCCAGATGAGGCCGGAAAGGTAAGCCGGTGCTTTGGAAAGAGAGAGTGCATGCCCCACAGCCTATTTTGCTTCAAGGTATGGCTTCTAAACTATATTAACATACACGTATTTAATATCATAGATTTACGCCCCACTTATTTTGGGGCCAATTGAATTTTAAAATTCAGAGCTTCAGAACATCAGAACTTCCCTTGCCTAGGATATCGATATCGTCGGGTTGTCTTCAATTGCGAATGCGAAATGCGTATGCGAGATCAGAATCCGCTAAAGATTCCGCCTCCGTCTGCTTCTCGAGCGTCAGTTTACAAGCGTTTTAATCTAAATATATTAAATACCACTATGTTAAATGAACAGTTGCCGTTTGCCGCGTGGTTTGTGGGCTTCCCTCTACTATATACTATTCAAAACTACTCAAAACTACTAGCATACTTTGTATATTCTCCCTACTTTCGTATTCGCACACTGTTATCAAATTGATATCAATTATTTGTAATCTATATATATATCTCTTTCTACTAATCATTTAATTTGTTGCTGGCCTTATTCTATACAACTAATTCCAATTTTTTGCTTAAAACGAAAGATACATTTCGAATCACCTCTCTGCTATTCTTGAATATCTTTGTTGTTGCTGGTTATCAAGTTGGAAGTTTGTGAATTATAATTTTTATCTTGTAGTTTCTAGTCATTCTCATAGCTTTGCAATTACATTAAGAACTATTCATGTTGTCCATACTTTTGATTTGTTTATTAGAGCGTTTAGAGAGTATTCAAATGTCTAATGGATTTTTATAGACTAACTTGTAAACTATAACTATTTAGGTCAAATGTTGACTTTTAAATTTTTGTTTTTTAAAAGTTTACCGAAAATAAACATAGATTTTAAATCTTTTGTGTAGTCTCACATTAGAGCCCTTAAATGGCCCACACTTTTTCTGTAAAATTAAAAACTAACAAAGTTGAAAAACCTTACATATTTCGCAAACCTGTATAAAAACTAAATCATTATAATTTGATAACTACAAAATAACTAGAATAATTCGAAACCTAATTTAAACACCTGCCATAAACAATTTGTACATGTACAAGTAGATTTTGAATTTTAGTGTATACCCTTAATAGACATTTTGTACATTTACGAGTAGTTGGTTCCTTGGTTAATTGAGTTCCCAAAGCTTTAACACACGACCATGCCCACCATTCCCCCTGATAAACAAAAAAACCAACTCCCCGCCCAGCACAACCAAGTCTAATATCAACTCTCGGTGCAGGAGTCGCTCATCCTGAGCTCCAGCCCGGAGAACACATTCATGCACGGTGCGGCCGCCCAACAGAAGCGGGTGTCCTCCGCCAAGTTGCTGCACACGGAGAGCAACACCAGCTCCATGTCCTACACGAATCACTCCGGCGAGAACTCCATGGAGACCTCGCTGACGGAGCCCATTCCGTTGGCCGATGGCCGCCTGGCGCCGGTGAGTAGCCGCCATGGCAGTGGCAGCGGCAGCGGTAGCGATGACAGCTCCTTACGGACATCGCCAAACGAATCGAGTGGCCTGAGCACTGGCCACACACTGGGCGCCAGCCTGGATGTGGACGAACAGGCAGTGGAGGAGGGCAACGAGGAGGAGCATGATCAGCAGGATCAGATTACCACTTCGCAGCCGGAGACCAGCAGTGGTGTGTACTCGCGCCGCTCCTCTCAGCCGCCGCACAAGGCGGCCAAATATCTGGTGGCCGTGCACCGGAAGATCACGCGACACGACAGCTACTTCCTCTCCTACCACAAGACGCGGCCCAGCCTGTTCGGGGTGCCGCTGCTCATCCCCAACAGCGAGGGCGGCACCCACAAGGATCTCTACTGCGCCGTGTGGCTCCAGGTGAGCAGGCTGCTCAGTCCACTGCCCGCCACCACGGAACAGGCCAATCATGCCGCCGATTGGTAAGTTGGATATACTACTTACCCATCTGAGACACTTTAACTGACTGCATAATATTCCTTTTACCTCAGTGACGACAGCCTGGGCTACGACTTTCCCTTCACGTTGCGTGCCGTCAAGGCGGACGGACTCACCTGCGCCATCTGCCCCTGGTCCAGTTTCTGTCGGGGATGCGAGATCCGCTGCAACAACGACTACGTACTCCAGGGAGCCCTGCCGCCCATCAATGCCGTGGCCAGTGAGTAATGATTTCTCAAGTTGATGAATAGATGCCACAAAACAAACCAAACAAGCACGTTTTAGTATACTTTATTAAGGAATTTCTAGGACCTAAAACAAGCCCAACTACATTGTGCAATATTGTTAGGACTTAAAAGCGTAACTGCAATTTCGACTTCGGGTTCTAAAAACAACTGTTTGCAACTGGTTAAAATTTTTTTGAGGTTTATCTGTCTTAGCTTACGTTTCGATGTAAAAAGCGATTTAAGATATTGATTAAAATTTCACTTTACTTAAGGGCCTACCAAAGTGGCACTATTAGAACATTTTTTTTATCCTTTTACTTTTCCAATAGTTTATATTATTAAAAACATCCTCCGGCAAGGTCGATTTTCTCGAAAAGACATATTACAAAATTGCTGACATCATAACTCCACAAAAAATTGCCCTACCGATTTGATTAGATATTCTTGGTTGGGTGAAAATTGTTAATTTGGCAAAAAAACGTAAAATATAGTTGACAACAAGATATTTTTTCTTTATAACTTCAAAACATTCTTTCCAGTACTTTCCTAAAAATAAAAACCCAAAATCGTTTATTTTTATTTTTTAATTCACATTTTTAGCTTTATTATAAAAAAGAATTTTTTTGTTAATTATGCTTTTCTTTGACCACACCTTAAACAATGTTTAAGATATAAACGTTAAATTTGAATTATCTTAAGATAAATATCTTCAATGAATCAATTATTACTTTTCTATAATAACCAAAAGCGATCAGAGCCAGAAAATCAAAATCTGTACATGCAGAATTTTAAGGCTAACTACAGTTCTTAATGAATTTAGAAGAATTAAACACTTATTAACACTTCAAGTTACCATTTCCCCGGCAGGCAATACATCGACGCCAAAAATGAATGCTAAATTCCCATCGCTACCAAATCTGGAGGCCAAGCGGACGCCCGAGTACACCGCCTCGTTGTCCTACACACCGACAACGAAATATTTTGAAGACTTTACCATTGCCATCGACTGGGATCCGACCGCCTTGCATTTGCGCTACCAAAGCACCTTGGAGCGTGTAAGTGGAACTTGCTCCATCATATCTTTGAAGTCACTGTCATTTTGATTGAATTTAGCTTTGGGTGGATCATGAGACCATTGCCATAAGTCGGCGGGAGCAAGTGGAGCCCGTGGACCTGAATCATTGCCTGCGCGCCTTCACCTCCGAGGAGAAACTGGAGCAGTGGTATCACTGCAGTCACTGCAAGGGCAAGAAACCAGCCACCAAGAAGCTGCAGATCTGGAAACTGCCTCCGATATTGGTGAGCTGATCATTCCCCCCTCCCCCCCTTTTTATGCTGAGAGAATGCCACTAACTTATGGCTTTCCCTTTAGATTGTGCACTTGAAGCGTTTCAACTGCGTGAACGGCAAGTGGGTGAAGTCACAGAAAGTGGTTCACTTCCCCTTCGATGACTTCGATCCCACGCCGTACCTGGCCTCAGTGCCCCAGGAGACGATACTGCGGCACAAGGAGTTGCTGGAACTGCAAAAGGACGCCGAGTTGTCGATGGCAAGCAATGAAGTTGTTAGCGAGATGGACGAGATCGATGTGCCCGCCAGCCAGGACAAGGAGCAGGAGCAGACAACTCAGGCGGAGACAACTCCAGCAGCCACCGCCGCCGCTTCTACAGCACCCACCGCCAGCATCCTGCGCCAGAACAAGAACATCAAGGCTGCACGGCGTCAGCGGCTCATCTCGACGAGTCTCACCAAAACGCCCATTGTGGACGGCGAGTTCGAGGACTATCATCAGCACCGACTCAAGCCGGAGGTGGATAAGTTCGATCCCAGATACCGACTCTACGCTGTTGTGGTGGGTTTATCCTTTCGCACTTATTTAACTTGCTTTAACTTCTTTGCCCCTTTTTGCAGTCACATTCGGGCATGCTGAACGGAGGCCATTACATTTCCTATGCATCGAATGCAACTGGTTCCTGGTACTGCTACAACGACAGCTCCTGCCGTGAAATATCACAGAAGCCGGTCATCGATCCGAGTGCCGCCTATCTGCTGTTCTACGAGCGCAAGGGTCTCGACTACGAGCCCTATCTGCCGAACATCGAGGGACGGGCCCTGCCCAGCGCCTCCAGTGTGCCGCTCGAGGTGGACGAGACCGAGGGCGAGCTGAAGAAGCTGTGCTCAATTTCCTAACTGATGATGTCCACATCCTGGCACCTGGTGGACATCGTGGCTATGAAGATTATATTAACCATTCTTATCCATTCTGTTGTTTCACACCGCGTATGTTTTGTTATTTACTATTCTAAGCTTCTGATTCTGATTTTCTGCAGTAGTTGTGTTTAGCCCCTAGTTAGTTATAAGCCTACGCTCTATTTTCTTTGCCGAAAACTGTTTTTGCATGTAATATACAATATTCACGTTTAGCTTGTAAATAATACGTTACATTGGTTTGTCACGTCGAACAAATCTATTCTCAATTTTTTCCCGTTGCTTTGTTTTGTTTTGTTGTATATAATTTTTAAATTTTGTACTTGTATTAGGCCAGCAGTGCCAGCTTGTAATTATTTAGGCCAGACCATGTCGGGAAATTCCATTTAATTTGTAATTATTGCTGTAAATAACAAGCGGAAGTGAAGCCGCCCGAAAGGCGACAAGTTTTAGGCAGTTTTGATATTAATCGATGATCAGCAATATTAAGATGTTACGAATTTCATCCCAAGAACTCGCGGACTATTGTTGGTCTACTCATCCCGTATTTACATGTATTGATTGGCTTTGTGTGACGTGCCGAACGGACTCGGTTCGAAATTGTAGTATTGCGCTTATCAGATATGACTTAAATATGTCTAATGAATGTGTATTTGATATTTACAAATATATATATACACCCACAGATATATATACATATACATACAGAACTTAACTAATTTATATTAATATACATGAAACATGATGATATATTCGAAACGAAAAGCTATGAATAAAACAACTTTTGTCGCTTGATCCACACTGCATTTTTACTAAAATTTTACTTTTTTGACCGTGGAAAATAGGTCAACCCCTTTACCTTGGGCTTTAGTAATAAAAAAACATGTGAAAAAAAGTATAAATCTTTAAATTCTACGGATTGAAACCGAATCCTAATATCGGTTTCGGTAACAGCTACGGTTACAAGCAGTACAGCTATAATATATCGTATTTGTATTTCGCGGCAACGGTACCGTAACGATCAAATAAAAATAATATTTCCAACATTATAACTATCTATCTATGCAAAATATTAATGCTGAGATTGAAGATGATTTTTGCACGTAGAATGTGCGAGGTTTCTAAAAAAAAGCTTTGAAGTTTTGTACTTGTAATTATTTACTTATGAACGCTTTGCAACTTAAAATAAAAATATTAATATTATTTACTAATTAACACCATTTTCACACTAAGTACATCAACTTACATTTTTTGTAAGTAAAATGTAAATGTTAAATTTTCACTAGGTGTTTTTTTTTGGGTCGCAGCATTTTTGTATAAATGAAAATCATTTTTTTCGTTTCAATGATATATACTGTGACAAAATATTCTAAAAGAAAATAATTTGCATCTGACATATTAAATGGTAATAATTTTTCCGAAACGGTTATTCCGGTTGCTATATATTTCGGTTTCGGTTCCGGTTAGGCAAACAATGTTATACCGGTTTCGGTTTCGATTACGGTTTTGAATCGGCTTTACAGGTTAAGGATTACGGTTAGGAAACAGGTTGGATACCATACCCAGTTTGTTATAAATCATTCCTTGATCATTTTCCGACGTTGCACTCCCACCCCAAATAAATAAAACTCTTTTATTGCAATGGAATTCAATACATTTATATTTTGTATCTAGATTATGTAATCACGTAGTAAAGAAGTAAATAAGAACTATGTATTATACTTGTCGTATGTTTATTGGCCGCGAGTCGTGTTCCGCTGAGATCCGCCCCAGGAGCAGAATCCGAAGCCTGGAACAAAGCTCGCCATCCGCCAAATGTCAAACCGTTTGAATTAGTTATTTGTGTGAACGCGACATGGGTCCATTTTTTTTTTGTTTTTTGTTTGTTATCGGGGGGGTGTTTCATTGCAAATGATTATCATAAATATATAGGTAGTGGGTGTGCGGGTGTTTTCGTGTGAGGACATTTAAATTCTTAGCTTGAGTAAAGTATATTTGCATGGAATACGAATGCTCTTAACATAGATATTGAGGAGATGCCTAGACGCCGGAATTATTCGATAGCTGGCCGGGCACCGAAAACTGTGGCCGAAAGTTGGCAAAGTTTCCAGCCGGTCCGCTCGTGAATGCTGGCAATGTTGTGCCCTGGAATCCAGCCGGGAATTGTGCCATTAATTGAGCTAAAACAAAAAAGAACAAAGTTTATTATAACGATTGTTTTTAAACTTACTACATTTAGCAATTCTATTGCGTTCTATATTTATCAAATAGTTTTCTTACAAAAAAAATTAAAATAAATTCGATTTTAGAAAATATGAATCTGGCATTGTAAATACTTAACAAGATCTATTTCAAATATAAATTGAAATTAAAATCTATACCCTAATACAAGACATTCACTTTGTCCTAATTGAATTGCAAGACTTGTTATTAAAAAAAAATCAAAATTAGTTTTCTAAATTATTTTCAACATATTTTTTCACAACTTGGTGAGAGTACAAATCCAATATCGTTATATTTTTAAGAATTTTTTTATAAGTTAACAACCAAAAATTCTATTTGAGAAAATGTGAATCTTGATGCATTTTTTAACAAGTTACATTAGAAATTCGATAGCAAATAAAAATTAAAATTACAAACTAAACTTTAACTTTTTTATAAGTGAATTGCAACACTATTTTTACTTTACTTAATTATTTGTTAGTAATTTCCGATTGTAAAGAAAACATTTAAACGAGACTCACCAGCATTCGAGGCGTTTCCGGCGGTGGCCGCCAGGCGGGAGAGAATCGATCGCTCGGACATCTGGAGCCGCTGGGCCACCGGCGGGATGCGGGCCAGGGTGGCTGGCAGCCGGGACACATCGCTCTTCATGTCCGAGAGCAGCTCCTCCAGCTGGTTGAGCACCTTGTGGAGCACCGCGTTGGCGGGCTTGTTGCCCGCCAGCGATTCCTTGCTGAGATGCTGATGCGACTCGGCCAGGCACTCGACCTCGGCGAACCGGGCGTTCAGCGACATGGCCGGATGGCTGGGGTCCTGGGCGAGATTCAGATAGGCCGCCCGACGCAGCTGCTCCTCGATAACGAGCGCCTGTTCCAGCAGCTTGAAGCGGCGGGCCAGGAACTTGTTCTTGATCTCCAGGAAGTTGCCCTTGCCGACGTCCATCTTGAAGGGCTCGTTGATGATCGCAAAGCGAATGTCATTCTGGATGTCCTGCCAGCGTCCATAGCCGTGGGTCACGATCCCGGCCAGCAGCCAATAGTCGTGGCGACGGTGCCAGATCTCGTACTCCCTGCCGGGCACAGCGGCCTTCTCCTCGTTCAGCCACAAGGTGTGCAGTTCGGTGAAGCCGCCATCGGCAATGTTGAACATGAACTTGCGCTTCAGCACCTCCAGACTGTCCTCCACTCCTCCCTTGCCAGCGGCGGCTCCAGTGGCAGCGGCAGCGGCAGCAGCAGCAGCGGCGGCAGCAGCGGCCGCCTTGTGATCCTTGGGCGAACTGGCACTGGGCTTCTCCAGCTCACCGTCCTCCTTGACGATCATCACATCGTCGTCGTCGTCATCGATCACTGTTGTCGCCGGCATGGGCTTCTTGTCCTCGATCTTCTCCCTTTCCTTCTCCTCCGCCTTGGGCTCTTCCTTGAGGTCCGGATCCTTGGCCTCCTCCTTGGGCTCTGTCTTGGCCAGCTCGGATTTGATCTCCGCCGCCGCCGCCGCCGCCGCCTCGCTGGGCTTTGTGTCGCCGGCCGTTGATTCCTCCGCCGCGTTCTCCTGCTTCACATCACCCGGCTTCTTGTCCTCTTCAGCCTCTTGCTCCTGCTTCACCTCGCTCTTCTCAGCCGTGGTCTTCTCCTTCTCCTTGTCCTTCTCGGAGTCTTTGTCCTTGTCCTCGCCCTTCTCGGATGCTGGCGCCGGACTGGGTGCCGCACTGGTGGCTGGAGTGACGCTATTGCTGGTGGTGGCGCTCTTGTCCACATTGCCACCGGCAGGCGGAGCCTCTAGAGCGGCCACATCCTGCTTGAGGGCTGATCGCACGGGTTCGCAAGGCTTGAGGATTAGCTCCGGCATGCTGTAGTAGCCGTTGATGTGCTCGAACTCCTGCACCTTCTTGCGGATGAGCGACATCACACCGATTCGGGTTAGCACGTGCTGGCGGGACAGACCCTCGCGCGGCACACCATCGGCAAAGGTCTCCGCATTGTCGGCACCCGGTTCACAGAGATGCCGCATGAAGAGCGAGACGTAGGCCTTGAAGTTGCGCTCGGATTTGCCGCGCAAATCGCGCACCAACCACTGCGAATTGAAGGCATCCTGCGGCGGCATTCCGTACCGCATGATGGCATTGAGGAAGCTCTTGCGCTGGCGGGCATTGAAACCGAGCACCTCGATGTTGCCGCCAACGCGGGCCAAGAGTGGCGGCAAGGGACGATCGTCGCGTCGCTCCAAACGCCGCTTGGCCTTCCGCTCGCCGCCGTTCTGCTCATCGAAGTCATCGTCGCCGCCGTCCTCATCGGAGCCAGCCGAATACTCCGAGTTGTACTCGCTGCCATTGTCCTGCCAGTTGGAATCATCCCGTGTGGTGTCCGCAGCCACAACGCCGCCATCCGTATAGTTGACCTGCTTGCGCACGCGCTTGCCTTTGCCCAGGCTGCGACCCACATCCTCCTGGTGCTGCTCGTAGTGGTGGCGCAACAGCTTCACCCAGTAGGCTGGGTCAGAGTTCTCTGCATCCTGCTTAATGATCTCCGTCTCCTCCTCTTCCTCCTCCTCCTTGGTGGCATACGAGGCGACCTTGAACGAGGACAGATACTCGTTGGCCCACGACTCCTTCTCCTCGATGCCGCGATTGGTGCGATCCAGCAGCTCGGCCACAGCCTTGTCGTCATAGTGGATGGCCTCCTCTTTGTCGTCCTCCTTGAACAAATCCTCTGTGCCGAAGCGCAGGATGTCGTCCAGTTCCTGTTTGGTGAAATTGGCACCCTTGCCGCCCATTCCCGGACGCACCACCAGATGGGTGAGCATCATCTTGCGCTTGGCCACCTGCGTCACACGCTCCTCGACCGAATTGCGGGTGACAAAGCGATAGATCATCACCTTGTTGGCCTGCCCGATGCGATGGGCTCGCGAGAAGGCCTGTATATCGTTGTGCGGATTCCAGTCGGAGTCGTAAATAATGACAGTGTCGGCCGTGGCCAAATTGATGCCCAATCCACCGGCGCGAGTGCTCAGCAAAAAGACAAACTGCTGCGCTCCGGGAGCATTGAATCGGTCGATGGCCTCCTGACGCAATGTGCCCGTGATGCCGCCATCAATGCGCTCGTACTTGTACTGCTCGCCCTCGAGGAAATCCTCGAGAATGTCCAGCATTTTGGTCATCTGCGAGAAGATCAGCACACGATGGTTCTGCGACTTCAGTTGCTTCAGCATTTTGGAGAGCAGCACCAGCTTGCCAGCGGCCTTGGTCAGCGAATTGATCTCGTAGAGGCCGCCGGCGGCGGTGGTTGCCTCCTCGGCGGCCGACGGGAAGAGATACGGATGGTTGCAGCACTTCTTCAGGTCCATCATGATGTTGATCAGCGAACAGGAGCCGCCGCCACTTTTCGAATTCAAAGCCTCATAGTTCTTGGTCAAGATGAATTTGTAGAATTTCTTTTGCATGGCCGACAGCTCGACGCGCACAATGAACTCCGACTTGGACGGCATGTTCTTCAGCACGTCCGTCTTGAGACGACGCAGCATATGCGGTCCGAGCATCTCGTGCAGACGCTTCACCTGCTCCTCCTTCGAAACGTCCG